AACTAGTTATAATTTGTCAACAAACTAGTTATCATTTGTCAACAAACTAGCTATCATTTGTCAAAAACTAGTTATCATTTGTCAAAAACTAGTTATCATTTGTCAACAAACAAGTTATCATTTGTCGACAAACTAGTTATCATTTGTCAACAAAATAGCTATCATTTGTCAACAAACTAGTTATCATTTGTCAAAAACTAGTTATCATTTGTCAAAAACTAGTTATCATTTGTCAACAAACTAATTATCCTTTTTCAACAAACTAGTTATCCTTTTTTAACAAACTAGTTATCATTTGTCAAAAACTAGTTATCATTTGTCAAAAACTAGTTATCATTTGTCAAAAACTAGTTATCATTTGTCGACAAACTAGTTATCATTTGTCGACAAACTAGTTATCATTTGTCGACAAACTAGTTATCATTTGTCGACAAACTAGCTATCATTTGTCAACAAACTAGCTATCATTTAACAAACTAGTTGTCATTTGGTAACCAACTAGTTATCATTTGTCAACAAATTAGTTATCATTTGTTAACCAACTAGTTATCATTTGTCAACAAACTAGTTATCATTTGTCAACAAACTAGTTATCATTTGTCAACAAACTAGTTATCATTTGTCAACAAACTAGTTTTAAGTATTACTAGGAAGATGTGCAGGAATTTCCAAATAAAATTATGAAAAAAATATTTTTTTTTTCTAATTTATAAATAAAAAAAAATATTGTGTAACATTCCTACATAGTAATATTTAATTGACAACTGCATTCTCTCTGAATTAACACATTTATGTGGACAGATGTCTTGTTGACCTAAAGTCATGTGAGGTTATGTCATACATATGTACACAATGCACATATTTGTGTATGTAGATTATCATATCAACCAAAACGCAGCCACAATCAGTTTTACAAATTGATATTTTAACATATTTAAAAAAGCTTACTGTGTGTGTTATAAAGTAATTAAAAAAATCATCGTAATTCTGTGGAATTATATAAACATAGTTGCCAGACTAATTTGGAAATCTGTTTGATCTTTGAAATAAGTGATTTTTAAAGTATCAATTTTATTCTCATTACCAATAGTATATAGAAATAAAGTATCAGGGGGTGGTACCTTTACCGTGCTGCTGAACAAAATTGCAAAAGAGTTTA